GCCGCGGAAGAAGCCATCCGTCGGTAACCAGCCCGTGACATCATCTTGCTTTGAATAATAGGAGCTTTACGGCTTACGCCACCATATTCTGAAGCGAATAGCAGATTGCGGATTAGGAACGAGTAGTATGAAAGTGGACTTCAGTGCGGCAACAAGGGTCTAGTGAGACGTCGTGGTGAAACTAGATTAGTCGATTTACAGATATCTCGGATATGTACACGAGAGTGAGTTGTTCCTTGAGCAATGTTTTACTGTAATTTGTGCAATAAAGTGTTTTAATATAACGGTGGTTCATCAAGTACCGAACCTGTGGGCTGCCACTATACCCACGACATTTTGATGGCGTGACCACTTGACAGAACTGTGATAACTTATTTCTATTGTGAACACTTATTGGCGCCGCAATTTAAAACAGTTAATTGCCCCACTCTTTTACTATATGTCAGTTTAAAAGTTCACGCAGTTTTGTTGATTATGACCGAGAGTATTAAAGTGACTGAACCAGCGGTGGCAAACGATGGTGTTGATGATGGTTTGAGCCAGGAGGAAGAGAAGAATATCAGTGATAACCTGGCCTACATAGGTAAATTTTTCGCAAACCCGCATGGTAGAGAGCGCCAATTACCTCCCAAGTCCCTTACTAGTGTGAAACATTTTCGTGACGAAGGTCGGTATGGTACCCACGACAATAGTAAGGCAGGGGAACAGTGACGCTGGCCGCTGGGTTCAAGTCTTGCGGAGTAAGTAAGGTGATGACGCGTTCCCGTTTGGTACAGTTCACATTTGAGGCAATGCAGCATGGTCATCGGACCCTTAGGATAACAACATGTGTAAGAAGTGACGGTAGGGGGCTAAAAATCATTGGAGAACGACGTATTGACCGTTATCCATAAGGATTAAGGATTAGCAGTTTGTAAGCTGATGCAGTGTTGGTTTAAAGTTCGTGTAGCGAGATGGGTCAATTGACTACAACTGCTTAGGTGCCAGGATAACAATAATATCTATAGCATTTAGATGGTTGATGTTGGCTCCAGGGCTGATTTGAGACTTACTTTGCTGGTCTACGGCTGCGCACCCTGCACCTAACGCGACGCCATGAATGTTCTTCAATGTCCAAACGGGTGCTGTATGTAGAATGGCTGGTCAGGTTTCTTACAGCGAGGTTTAGTAACTTTAATCCTAGCTCAGATAGACAAAATTTGGGCTCAGCTCAAATTGGCGATAGCAATTTTTTCAAAATATTTTTCTAAGTAAATTTTTATACATATAAAAACTTAAAAAGTAGCCATTTAGACTACCGTCAAAAAAAAAAGAACATTAAAATGCTGCTGCCCATTAAAACAACCATTGATTCGAACATTTTACTGGGTCAAGTTTCATGCCATATTTGTAGCTGAAAAACTTTTACTTGAACTGAGGATTGCTTACAGAGCAATTTTTCAAAGTAAGTATTACTTAGGACTAATTGAATTGACCGTTAACGCGCTTCGAGCACCTTAGAGATAAAATATTAACGTTAGGCATACAAACTTGTTTTCTGAAAAATAGAAAACGATTCATCATAAAAAAAAAAATTCGTCGTAAAAAAGCACCAAGTGACAACTGATCTTATAAAATACTCAATATGTACAGGGCACTAAAACTGGACTAGGTACTTTATAAAAACACAATTTTTACATTCACCAGAGAAAAAACAGGTAACGGCTACTGTCTGTTTCAATGCAAGGTTATACCTTCACTCAACGCAGGATAAAACTGAATACCGGTACTTAAAAAAATGATAACCAAGCGTTAAAGTGGGAAAAAATGCACATCAAAGTGAATACGATAAAATCATGGAAAGGCAGTGTTCGCTTAGCGGCCACTTTATGTCGAGGGGAAAGTATTTACTTCGAAAGTACGGCTTGCAGGTCCAGGAGCAGATGAGACGTCATGAAAAATTCTGCCAAACCCCACAACGTCAGCACACCGCGATGCAAATATACATTTTTCAGGAACAGTTCAATATCATCGACTCAGCATAAAAACATGAAAATATACGTACTTAAAAACATGTAACCAAGCAACTTCACCCAATTCCAAGCATACAACTAAGAACTGATAATACATATGCAAAGAGATCAGCAGTTTTGAACTTCGTTGTCGAGCTTAATTAACGCAAAAGAAAGTACAATATACAGAAACGCAAGAGGAAAGTACAGAACTTTCCTTTAAACGCAAAGAAAATTGAAGAACTATGAAGACCATAAAAGATAAACACTTATTGACAATAATGATATGGGTATTGACAATGCAGAAATATAATTTTGCCCCATCGATGAGAACAACATCGAGGAACTTGGCATGCAGGAGAGCAAGTCAGGACTCGCGGTTCCGACAATGTGGAGACGGCTTTGATGGGAGCACTTCTGTGATGCCTTACGCTAGGGGAACTTCAAGGCTAAGGTGCACTCACCTACACGCCTAGGTATCCTCAAGGCTAAGGTGCAACTCACCATACACACCTATTCAAGGCTAAGGTGCAACTCACCATACACACCTATACGCCCAGGTATCCTCAAGGCTAAGGTGCAGCTCACCATACACACCTACACGCCCAGGTATCCTCAAGGCTAAGGTGCAACTCACCATTCACACCTACACGCCCAGGTATCCGCAAGGCTGTGGTGCAGCTCACCATTCACACCTACACGCCAGTAATGACCTAAAGAGGTGGGCTTATCTCTACATGCATGATCATGCGTTGATTGAGTTAACAGTTCAGCTGCGGTGCAGGCGGCGTCGACACGCCGTAAACCTGACAATGAAATCTTAGCCCCTGTTGACTTATAATAAAATGTCTTATAGATAAAGGACTCGTTAAGCTTAAAAGGGTGTTGATAATCAATACTGTTAGCTTTGGTTAAAACTGTGCGCTCCAGTTGCTGCTACAACATTTATTATAACTGCAGCCATCACACTCATCAGCAGTCTAACTGCGAATTGACTGCCACTTTAAACTGCAGCTGCCGCTTCCAACTGCAGCTGCCGCTTCCAACTGCAGCTGCCGCTTCCAACTGCAGCTGCCGCTTCCAACTGCAGCTTCCGTTTCAACTGCAGCTGCCGCTTTCAACTGCAGCTGACACTTTCAACTGCAGCTGCCGCTTTCAACTGCAGCACTAGGTGAAGTCGGGGTGGGGGTGAGGGGAAGTGCGTGGGTGAGGGGAGGGCGAGGGGTACGGAGGTCCATGTTTAGGGGAGTTCTGGAGGCTGTGGGGGGCGGGGGAGAGACGAAGGGGGCGACCAGCCCCCAGCAGGGTGGGGGGGCGCGTACCGAGACCTGGGGGGAGAGGGGGCACGTAAGCCAACAAAGGCAACAATGTATTGCAAATTTCATGGCTACACAGAGAAAACTACGCGCAGCAAACAGCAAGAAGGCCAGAAAATAAAAAGACTATTGATGGCTACATGATACGCCGTCACCCGTGACCCTGATGGCTACATGATACGCCGTCACCCGTGACCCTGATGGCTACATGATACGCCGTCACCCGTGACCCTGATGGCTACATGATACGCCGTCACCCGTGACCCTGATGGCTACATGATACGCCGTCACCCGTGACCCTGATGGCTACATGATACGCCATCACCCGTGACCCTGATGGCTACATGATACGCCATCACCCGTGACCCTGATGGCTACATGATACGCCATCACCCGTGACCCTGATGGCTACATGATACGCCATCACCCGTGACCCTGATGGCTACATGATACGCCATCACCCGTGACCCTGATGGCTACATGATACGCCATCACCCGTGACCCTGATGGCTACATGATACGCCATCACCCGTGACCCTGATGGCTACATGATACGCCATCACCCGTGACCCTGATGGCTACATGATACGCCATCACCCGTGACCCTGATGGCTACATGATACGCCATCACCCGTGACCCTGATGGCTACATGATACGCCATCACCCGTGNCTACAGGTAAAAACAGCTGTTAGGGAGCTACAGTTACGACCAGCTGTAGAGGGAGCTAACGTTAAAACCAGCTGTAGAGGGAGCTACAGGTAAAAACAGCTGTTAGGGAGCTACAGTTACGACCAGCTGTAGAGGGAGCTAACGTTAAAACCAGCTGTAGAGGGAGCTAACGTTAAAACCAGCTGTAGAGGGAGCTACAGGTAAAAACAGCTGCTAAGGAGCTACAGTTATGACCAGCTGTAGAGGGAGCTAACGTTAAAACCAGCTGAAGAGGGAGCTAGAGGTAAAAACAGCTGTTAGGGAGCTACAGGTAAAAACAGCTGTTAGGGAGCTACAGTTACAACCAGCTGCAGAGGGAGCTAACGTTAAAACCAGCTGTAGAGGGAGCTAGAGGTAAAAACAGCTGTTAGGGAGCTACAGTTACGTCCAGCTGTAGAGGGAGCTACAGTTACGATCAGCTGAAGAGGGAGCTACTTTTACCATCAGCTTTAGAGGGAGCTTCTTTTACAACCAGCTGTATAGGTAGATACTTTTACAACCTGCTCTAGAGGGAGCTACTTTAACAACCAGCTGTAGAGGAAGCTACTTTGACAGCCTTGCATAACCGACCTTTAACGTCTTGTCCAAGTTCCCGTGGGGGTGTTGGTGCTGTTGCTCCTGATACTGCCGGTCCTCTAGATACTGATGTTGCGGTTGCTCCTGACACTGTGACAAGTTCAATACCTCGGCGAACCTCTCTGCTGGAGGCGAGTCCACCTCACATTCCTCCTTGAGCTTCTCCAACTCCTTCTCGTGCTCCAGACGTGCTGCCTCCAGGTTCTCCGTGTACCGGAACTGACTGCAGGAATTGGAAGCACTGTAACCTGATGTTTCATTAGAAGGATGAGCGCTGAAGAAAGCACTAGAACTTGGCTCATCAGAAGAGCGGGAAGCAACAGCACAACCTGCGGTACTGGAATTGGAAGCCCTGGTGGCGGCAGTAACAGAGTTGACGTCATGTGAGCTGGCGGTGTCTGAAGTGTTCTCACTGGCGCATAAGGCAATGCCAGTCTCAGGACCACTTCTAACGCAGTTGCTGGAAGAATCATCGCCACTGCCAGGAGTGTCGTTTGACTCGGCTGAGCCACGCGAGCTTCTGGGTACATCGTTGCCAGAGCCTGCAAAAAAAATATTCTTCAGAAAACTCGTATCTTTTAGTTAGATCAGTGAAGCACATTGGCGCATCTAAGGTCAACAGGAATAGAGTGAAGTAGGCAGCAGACCAGCAAAGAAGATTCCAAGGTAACACTACTCGCTCCTGAGGTGTGATTTTCATGCTCCACTGAAACATTTTGGTACTCTTGCAAGAGAGGCTGACTGTGTGTATCTCGTTCTATGGTCAACACGTCCTACAAGGAAAGGCTCCAATCTCAACATTCACGTAGGTATATCTGTGAAAACCTAAATCAGCAGTGATTTCGCTACCCTCGTGATTACCATGAATGACCGCTGCACTCGCGTGGCAGTTTCTGACATGGACGCGATCAGCCACTACTTTGCCAAGAAAGGCAGTGCTACAGAAAGTGTTGAGCCCTGACCGGTGCACTGAGATGCTATTAAATTGTCTGCTATGTGGACTGTGTGGACCACATCATATGTAGAAAACTGGACGAAGTGGATAAAGTACACGTGTGGCTACAACAAGGCGGACAACAGCACGGTATTGTTCAAATATTCCTTGGGCTTTAAATATCTTTACGGCGTGGCAAGGCAAGCTGAGTAACCAGATTCAAACACATGGAACTTCTCCATTACGGACTACACAAAGGTCAGCGTCCACAATTCTAATCCTTGCTCTTTCAAAAATGTAAAGGAAGGAATGAGATGGAAAATCAATGTCATTCATCCATAAATGACAAGGCAAATTATAAAGCACTCCTGAGGACATCCCCAGTGATGTTTATCAAACACAGCCATAATTTTTCTGATATTCTTAGAAATCCTTAGGACAAACAACCTTTTATTCCATTTCAGAACTGTAAACATTTTTTCCAGGATAGTATTCACCTTTAAATACAATGTATATTTAGTGCAAATTGAGAATATTTAAACACTACGGTACTCACTTGATTTGAGTAAACATTTGAAATGAATAATAAGCTGGACTGCAAAAACTCAACAAGTGACCTGAGTTGCTTAAGACCATCACTCACCAGAAGAAGACCCAATATTGCGGTGGAGTCTGTCACTGTTACGTGGCTTGTTGTTGCGCAGGATGCTGGATATAGAAGAGTAGGTGCTTGTATTTGAGCCGTTAGAAGCAATGAGTGGCAGCATAGTGAGTCTAGTGGCAATGGAAGGGGGGGCTGATGAACTGCGAACATCTCTACTCTCCTTGGAACTTTCAGAGACACTTCCTGACTGCTGGATGCCGTTGCAATCCGGCAACAAGCCATTCTCTTTAGACTGGGACAGGCTGACAGCTGACGTTGCATTAGTGCTCACTGGGTTGTCCATGCCAGATGAGGGGTCAGTATTGTCAGTAGTAGCACTATCAGTTTCCAGGATGTCATCAGCATTTTGACGTATACGCCGTGATGTGACGACAGCAGCATTGCACTCGGCAATCACCGAGTCCAAACTCTGCAATAAGAAATACTAGAGTGAAAATGAGAGTGTGCTTAAGTAAATTTCTTGTTACAGAGTAATACTTTAAATACCAGCAACAAGCACTACCACAGACTCAAAGGTGAATAAAAATGAGAAAACTGGAATGCAATACAAGGGCTAAGATTCCAAGTGATAATTTAAGCCAAAGTAAGGAAAAGTTAATGCTTCATAGTCCATTCAATTGCTTGAAATCTCAACCACATTTATTAGAAGAATCGATTCATGCAAATGACTTCTCTCTTCCACAACTCCAGCTTCACTAGTATTTTCACACCACATATGTACATTAATACAAGTAAGTTAAGAATTCATGCATGAATAAAAACACAGGAATCAGGTTCTGAAGACTTGACTGTGATCAAGGACCTGTTCAGTAGCTGCTCGAAGCCTGGCAGCAAGGGCAGGGGTCAGGGGCTGGCCTGATTGTGCTCCAGCACTCAGCAGAGTGGCTCGAGCCAGGGCCAAGTTGTGGGACTGACGGGAAGCCAGCTTGCGGGACAGCTGCTCAGGAGTCAGCCGATGACATGACATGTCAGTTTGGTCAGCCTGTCAAGATGAATTACTTGGTTATTTCAACATGGTTATTGTAAGGAAATGTAACACAATGACAACCAATTCCCTGTACAATTACTGTAAGACACCAGACGAGCAAATGGATTAAAATTTAAAAAATTGTCATGATATAAATAAAGACGAAATTCTCATGAACAGTTATATTGAATTTTATTAATGGAAAGTAAAATATTTTCATATCATTCAAAGCATTACAAATACCTGATGCTTAATTCATCTAGGTTACAAAAATGAGTTATTGCTTAAAGAAAGACAACAAATACAAGTTGGTCCTACCTTACTATAGAATAATATGCATTTAAAAATTACTTTTCATATACAACACTTCAAAAGAGGCCAGTGTTCTAAATGTACCTGTCTAGGTCGGTTGAACAGGTAGAAGTGTGTTAAATATTGATTATAATATTTGTAGCAGACAAAATCATTTTTAAAATTTGTTTAATATTGAAATTTTTGTGCTTTAATTTTTTAATTTATTTATTCCATCAATTGATTCATGCATTGTCTCCAACTTTACACAAGAGTGCAAAATTTCAGATCAATTGGAGAGTTAGAAGTGTGGTAAATATCGATTATAAGATTTGTAGCAGACAAACAAACAAACAAACAACAAGAAGTGAAGTTGAAGAGAAGTGTTGTAAAAAGAACTGAAGATTTCCATAATACCATTATTTAGTCAACACCTCAAACAAGACTCACATTCCACTGCACTGGCTGGTGTCGGGGGCCATGTGGAGGGATGGGTGGAGGTTGGCCAGAAGACATTGGGTTATCTTACACTAGACCATTTGTTGCAAGTAATAATTGGGTAACTTTGTCTGCAGGAGTAGGAACATACCAGGGATAAGCTAAACTAATGTCAGTTGATGCAATACACATCTCAGTAAAATATGACATCAAATGGGGGTAATAAAGGACAGGTGAAGTAAATGAGGACAGTCACCCCAGATTTTGTAGAAATGTGTAGCAGCTAAACTAATCAAAAAATTGCAAAACTAAAAATAGTGGCATAAATTTCAACATTTTACTATGTATTATTCATAATAAAAATTAAGAAATGCTACATCTACTATCTCTAAAAAAACTGAAAAAAGTGTGGAAGTGAGATTTTGGAAAAGTACCTCTGCTAAAGTCTGTAGCAAAAAAAATATTTGCCATATTAAAAAATTTTACTTGCATAAAAGTTGCACACAGATGTTGGCTTAAAAATGTGATTGACAGAATTTGTGTAGCTCATTCCCCCAAAAAGTGGCGGCCATTTCCGCATGATGGGGTAATAAGGGACACCCCCCCCAGGGTCACCTCTAAAAATGCATTTACAGTAGAGAGTAGAACCTTGGTTAACAAAGGCTGCAGTTAACAAAAAAAATCAATCAACAACAAAGAATTTTGATTACATTTACCTCACTCAATGAAAAAAAAATCCACAAAATATTAATGTATCATCAGTTGACAGTCATCACATAATTATGCATACCTAGAAATCCTGGCTAGTATGTCATAGATAGAATTGTTCACCAGGCAACATAGAATTAGAATGAAAAATAATTAACCTAAATCATAATTTTTTCTCAAATAAGTATGATGGTTGTCACTAAAAAATTCCTGTCTGTTTTAGTTGTTTTTTACAATCTTTTTTTTTGTTATACCGTCAACCGGGGCAACTCGGGACTGGCGGGGCAACTCGGGACGCACCTCCGACACGGCGTAAAACTGTTATAGTAGCAAAACTAATTGGAATATTGCAAAACTAAATATAGTGGCGTAAACGTCAACATTTTTCCTATCTATGTAGTATAAAGGC